AAGAGATGAGATCAAGAATATTAAAAACCACTTCAAGGAGAAAGAATTGCATGCAGGGCAGAATAATAATTGATATAGTTAGTAAATGCTTTCAATATAGCCTGAGAAAAACACTTGTCCAGTGAAAGGAAGATAAATAAGTAACAAGGAAGAAAAATCAATCAGGCAAAGGATCAAATTCCTTTGGAGTCTGGAGATGAAGTGTCCTGACCCAAGAACTTGATCTACTGGATAGAAATGGAGGTGCAGGGAATTATAAAACCAAGTTCCCACACTCTCACCTGCCGTCACTAAGTAATCTTCCTTTCATTTCCCTTTCATATAGATTTCTGTGTAATACTTGGTTAAATGTACGTTTTTTATGCGTGTTATTTATCTCTGTTGTTGAGTCCAACTCAGCAACCTTGTAGGTCATTGTGAGCATAAGTTTTTAGGTTTGAAGTCCTATGATTCTCACTGATGTCACTTAGTGAAAAACAAATTGTTGTTATAAGTTGAATTACCTTCAACTAAAGACAGACTTATGCATAATAACAAAATGTTTTCAGGTCCTGTGCCATTTTTATGATCTTTGGCATGTTTGAGTCTATTGCTCCAACTGTTTTATTGTATTCCATTTAAGGTTTCTATTATTTTTGTTGGTCCTTTACTAAAAGTGTATGTGAATTGAAATTTTGTCATCCTTGCTTTTAAGGAATATTCTATTTTTAACTATTTCATATTATTCAAAAATTTTAATTTGCTGCTTCCTAATCAATATTGGAGGAAGATTTATTAGCAACCTATGATACGCAGATGATACAACCTTGTTTCCTGTAAGCAAAGAGGACTTAAAATATTTACTGATGAAGATCAAAGACCACAGCCTTTGGTATGGGTTGCACTTTAATGTAAAGAAAACAAAAACCTTCATAACTAGACCAATAAACATCAAGATAAATAGAGAAAAGATTGACGTTGTCAAAGACTTAATTTTGCTTGGATCAACCATCAGTGCTCATGTAAGCAGCAGTCAAGAAATTGAACAATTTATTTCATTAGGCAAATGTGCTACACAAGACCTCTTTAAAGTGTTGAAGAGCCAAGATGTCAGCTTGAAGCCTAATGCATGCCTGATCCAAGCCATGGTATTTTCAGTACCCTCATACACATGTGAAAGTGGGACAGTGAATAAAGAAAACCATAGACGAATCGATGCACTGAGTTATGGTGTTGGAGGAGAATATTAAAGTACCATGGGCTGTCAAAAGAACAAACCAATCTGTGTTGGAAGAAGTATAGCCAGAATTCTCCTTGGAAGCCAGGACAGCCAGACTTTGTCTCTCATACTTATCATCAGACATATTATCAGGAAGGACCAGTCCCTGGAGAAGGATACCACTTTTGGTAAATTGGAGGGTCAAAGAAAAAAAGGAAGCCCTCCAATGAGATGGATTGGCACAGTGGCAGCAGCAATATGATGGTCTGTTACACAGCTTGCTTCTAGTCTTGATTTGGCTTGAGATGTCATTGAGGTTCTTCATCATCTTTTTTAAACAGATGTAGTCAATCTGCTTCCTATGAGTTTCATCTGGTGGGGTCCACATATATAGTCTCTGTTTATGTTGTTGAAAACAAGTATTTGCACTGAATAAGTCATTGGTCTTGGAAAATTCTATAATGCTATCTCCAGAACCCTATCATCAGGTCATATTTCCCAACTAACATTACTTCCTCTTTGATTTAAACTTTTCCATTCTAATCACCAGTAATTGTCAATAAATCTTGATTACATAATTGATCAATTTCAGACTGAAGAAGTTGGTAGAATTCTTCAATTTATCATCACTGCTTTAGTGGTTGGTGTGTAAATTTGAATAATAGTGGTATTAACTAGTTGTCCTTGTATGCGTGTGGATATTATTGTATTATAGACACTGCTTTACTTCAGTTTATCTTTCCTGACACAGTAAACCATATGTGATTCAAATAGTAAACAATATGAGATTGTGTGGTTCAAAACTTCCAGTGCCAGTTAATGAATCTTCCTCCAATCCTGATGCCACGTTTTTCTTCATATAATCCAGTTTCTTGGATTATTTGCTCAGCATACAGATTGGATAAGTATGGTGAAAGAATATAACCCTGGAACACACCTTTTCCTAATTTTAAGCCATTCTGTGTTCCCTTGTTCTGTTCCTTGTTCTGAACAAACTGCCTCTTGGTATATGTACAGGTTCCTCGTGAGCACATTGATACAGTGGCAGCAACAATGGGCTAAACAATAGCAGCAGTTGTGAGGATGACACAGGACTGGGCAGTGTTTTTGTTCTGTTGTACCTAGGATCTGGTATTAGTTGGAATAGACTTCGTGGCACCAAACAACAATGGCAGAGTTTTACTAAAGATAATACAAAAACAGCTGCAAGCATACATTGACATAGTACTTCCAGAGATTCAAACTGGATTTAGAACAGGCTGTGGAATGAAAGATATCATTGCTGGTGTCAGATGAATCTCATCTGAAAGCAGAGAATAACAGAAGGATGTTTACCTGTGCTTTATTGACTATACAAAGGCTGTGTAGATTATGACAAACTATGGACAACATTGAGTAGCAAGAATATTCTGGAACACTTAGTTGTGCTCCTGAGGATTTGGATGAAATTGCAAACATTCCATTTTCAATTCACTGTGAGATCTCCATCTACCATATCTTTATATTTATTGCATATTATTAGTGAATCCTGACAAGGTTGAATACATTTTTTAAAAAAATAAGTTTTTATTGTGAATTGAGTGATAGTTTACATGGGAGAGCATCAGCTTTATATTCATCCTATTGTATTTTATTTCATTGCAATGATTTCAATCCCCTCTATGCATCATCATTCAACAGCATTTTCTTCCAATCCCTCTGTTTTTTTATTTTTCTGAATGTACATTAAAGCACTCAGGAATGAATAACCATTCAAACAACCAAAAATTATACCCTTCATTCTTTTAGGTTGTGAAGTGGAAATGAGAATGAAGTCTTCTTTACTTTGTATCATTGTTGTTGAGTGTCTTAGAGTCAGCTCCAACCCATAGCGACTCTGTATATGGTTTCTAAGGAGCAGGTGGTGACCTTGAACCTCTGACCTTGCAGTTCAAACTGACCTTGCAGTCCAGAGCATTAACTTACAGTGCCATTTGCCTCAAATAAATGACTGTATCTCAAAATTAAATGGAATATATACACTAAAGAAGTTTTAAAGATTTATCCTTATCAAATTATATCACTGTACACAATTCATGGTGTTTGTAAACTTTAATAAGTGTCATAAGATACTGCATTTGGCTTTAGTGAAGCTTTTTTTTTTTTTCTTTCTCTTTTTGGCTGTAGCATCTGTTTAGAGTGTCAGAGTACAAATTTAGACTTTTAAATATAGCTAGGACTTCAGCTTTTTGCTAACTGATTTGTTTTAAATTTCTCAAGCAAAGTACATTTATCAGAGGATATTTCCACATAATATAGAGGTATGTATCTGGTCCTTCTAAAAGACTTGATATTTAAAAAAATTAAGAAGCTGGTTTATATAAGTACTCTAATACCAATTAATATATTGCATAGTTTTACATGTAATGAAAATTTAGCATATTCTCAAGTGGAATTACTCTCTATGCTTTGTTTTCAGGGAGGGAGAAAGTTATACAGTTAAATTTTAAATTGTTTAAATAAGTCGTTAAAAGATTTATTACTCTCTAACTCCTGATTTTAGTTTGCATAATTCATAGCTATTCTTATACACTTTACTAATGTAAAAAATCTTTATTTATTAAATCAGATGCCTGAATTACTGCATTTAATTTTAGAAAAGCTTTCTGTAATTTTCCTGAACTAAACAAATTTGATATATTTGACAATTGTTACTTGAGTGTTTCTGATTTATGAATCTGGCTCTCAAAGCTAAGGCTGTGTATGTAATGTAATTTGAAATTTATTGTAACTAGTATTCCATAGATTGCTAGAATTACATGGATTACTCATAGTGATTTTTAAATTCTCTCTTTTGAGGTAAAGTTTTTCAGAGTAAAATAAAGGTTAAAATTTTAAGTTAAATAACTTTACTATCCAGTTGAAAAGATTCATCTTATCCCTTCATTTTTTCTTTTCTGTCAATATCCTCTTCTTCCCTCTAGTATTCCTAGCTGCTAGACTGTACTCTTCACTTCCAGTTTTTGTTGTTGTTAGTTGTCATTGAGTTGATTCTGAGTCAGGTGAGTGACCTTATGTATAATAAAAAGGAAAAGCAGTGAATCATTGCTCATAGTGAGCTTATGTATACTAGAATGAATTGTGGTCTGATTCTTTGCCATCTTCATGTTTGACTCCATTTATTGTAACTCTTGTGTCAATCTGTAGTCATTTCAGTACCAAACTTAATTTCCTTTTCTAGTCATTGGTCTTTCCTGATAATAGGTAAATAAGTAAGCCAAAGTCTTGCCATCCTTACTTCAAAACTATATAGCATGTATAGAAAGAAAGACTCTTCCTTTGTCATTATTCAGCCTTGTTCCTTCTGACTCAGCAAGAAACCCAGGCAGGATTCAGGGTAAGAGAAACAGCCAAATGTCCCAAACACTTGTCAGGAATTGTAAATTAGAACTGGGAAGTTGGTTTATAGCGTTGTATTTCTATTTTAAGGAGTACTTGTGGTGTCAGGGTTAAGCGCTTAGCTGCTAACTAAAGGTTGGAGATTAATCCATCAAACCAATTAAAGCCAATGTATTAAAGGTCACAATGCCAATGTATGAAAGTATCAGAAATGGTAGTTGAGGATGCCAGTTTTGCAAGTGACCTTATGTCATGCATCTTCACACGCTCCCTCCAGTACTTAGTTTACCCCTGTAGAGAACCCTGATGCCCTGATAGGAATCTAGCCCAAACCACATTGCCAATTCATCGTTGTAAATATCTCATAAGAAATATTTTTGGCTCTTAATTTTGCAAGTGAAAAATACTCTTCTTACTTTTCAGGATGTCAAACTTGGGACAATTTGACTCTGACTTTTATCAATCCAATTATACCATTGATAACCAGGAACAGAATTGCAATGATTCTGATGCGTATGATTATCTTTATGGATCTAGAAGGTAAGTACTTTCAAAAAAGGAAATATGCTCATATTTGAAGAAGTCATAATAACATGGCATTCTAAGTAGTTAGGGTTTTCTCTCCAGCATACCTGAAGAAGAATCTTCAGGAAGAGAGACAGTAATTCAGTTCTCCATGAATACACTTTAACACCTCAGGCCCATTTGTAGGTGAATGACTTGTTTTTCTCATTTCAAAATATCACTTAACAAGGAGTCTGAATACAGACTCTGGGTGTTTTACCAGATTACTCACAAAGACATCACTTGAGAAATAGAATTAGTTGAATTTTATAAACACTTACTGAAGGAGGATTAGGAATGGGCTTTAAACCCAAAGATAAAGAAGACATTTTTCTTCACAAAATTAAGGAATTTACACTGGGGAGATGTTACATAGATGATAAATGCTATGATGGAACAAAAATAAACATATTTTAAAATTAATTATTTTACCTGAGCATTCAACTTAAATTGAAAATAAAATAATTATGGATTTACTACTTGTCCTTTACTAATAGAAAAAACATGAGATTTACACTGAGAAGAATTTGGTTCCAGTTCTGGCTCTGGCACAGATGTCTTTATGACATTAGGAATTATTTAATTTTTTCTAAGTGTGGCACTGTAGCATAAGCACTGGACTGCTGACCACAAGGTTGGCAGTTCAAACTCATCTACCACTCTTTAAAAAACTCTATACAGGGTCACTATGAATCAGAACTGACTCAACAGTACTTCGCAGCAACAACAAAGTGTCATAATATGAGAAATAAGGACATAAATAATGCCTACTTCATGGAACTGCCATAAAAAGCAATTTTGATAATGGACAGGAAGCATATAAAATTAAAACCACTAAGACAAAAGCTAGTTATTCTTATAACTAGCTTGAAAAAGCAATTGATTCTTTGTTGCCTAAAGTAATTAAATGTTCTTTGTAGGGTTATACAATTTAGGTCTGGTTTTGTAGATTATAGGAATGGTCAGACCCTTCAATTTCCATAAATAACATTTATTGTTCTGTGGGTTAATGAGCTGGACTGCAAAGCCAGTTTGAACCACATGGTCGGTGGCTCAAGCTCACCAGCCACTCCTTGGAAACCCTATACAGGGTTGCTGTGAGTTGGAACCACCTCGATGGCACTTAACAACAACAACATTGAGCTCTTACTATGTGTTAGGAATGGCTCTGTGATTTTTATTAATTTATACACTGTATCTTCTAAGCAAATCTTTGAGGTAGGTATTTTTTAATTATCTCCATTTCAGATATAAGAAACGTAGGTCACAGAGAAATTGAAGAACTTTCCCAAGATCAGACTGTTAATTAAGAATTGAGTACAAATTTTAGACCATTATTGCATATAATTTTTTGTCCAACCAAAACAATATTACTAAGTTGGACCTAAAATTTAATGTCAAACCAAAACATTTTTGAGCATAAAATTGTTGTTGTTGTTGTTATGTCCCATGGAGTCGGTTCCGACTCATAGTGACCCTGTACAGAGTTTCCGAGGCTGTAAATTTTTATGAAAGCAGAAAGCCTCATCTCTCTCCCATGGAACAGTTGGTAGTTTTGAACTGCTGACCCTGAAGATAGCAGCCCAATTCATAACCACTACACTACCAGAGCTCCTACCATTAATAATAACAGCCCTGGTAGCTTAGTGGTTTAAGAGCTGGGCTGCTAACTGCAAGGTCAGCAGTTTGAATCTTCCAGCTGCTCCATGGGAGAAAGACGAGGCTTTTTTGTTTACATTAAATTCACAGATTCAGAAACCCTATACAGGCTCACTATGAGTCGGAAACGACTCAGTAACGTATCACCGCCACTCTGGTAGCGTAGTGGTTACGAATCAGGCTGCGAACCACAAGGTCAGTAGTTCGAAACTACCAGCTGTTCCGCGGGAGAAAGATGAGGCTTTCTGCTCCCGTAAAGATTTATAGCCTCGGAAACCCTGCACAGGGTCACTATGAGTCGGTTCCGAGTCGGTTCCGACTCCACGGCACATAACCACCACCAGCACCACCCATTAATGATAATTTGGGACAAATGTCATAAACTGGTCGATCCCAATAGTCAATTTGTTACCTTGTTGTTGTTAAGTGCCGTCGAGTCGGTTCCGACCCATAGCGACCCTGTACAGGGTTTCCGAGGGTGTAAATCTTTACGGGAGTAGAAAGCCTCATCTTTCTCCCGCGGAGCAGCTGGTAGTTTCGAACTGCTGACCTTAAGGTTCGCAGCCCGATTCGTAACCACTACGCTACCAGAGCTAGCTTATTAATTGAAATCAGGTTTATTAATTTTTGAAGCTTATTTATTTTGTAACTCAAAAAAGTACCTTAAAAGTTCTAGATGGAAAGAAGAAAAGACAGAATATATGCATAAAGGTAGTTGGGAGTCTTCTGTTCCATGTCCTTGAAAATTTGGATACTGTTTTCATTGACTGATTATTCGTGCAGACATAAGCAGATAAATGCTGCATTCACAAGCTGCTTCCTAGCACCAAACCACTGCTACAGGGTACGGTATAGGGGAAAGGTGATGGTAATTTAATGTTTTTCAAATTGGCAAAGTAAATCATTTGGAATTTTATCTCATTCTCATCCCTATTCTATCCTACCCAATATTTAGCAGCCTGCCTTAATTTTTTTTGAAGTGAAAAACAATCCCTACATATATATAAGGAAGCAAATTAGAAATGTTTTCACAACTCTATATTAAAAAATGAGGGAAAATGATAAGGCTGCATAGAATTGGATCGATCATTCAATGCAGCAAGAAGAACACAATTTGATTCTAATTAATTTATGATTAATGCCTTGGAAGAAATTATTCAGGTCAAGAAACAACAAAAAGCTATTTTAGGCAGAAAAGTTATATGTGCATTAAGGTGTTACAGGATGGTCACTCAAAATGTACAGTCCAAAATGAGAGTTATCTAATAGAATGTGTCAGCTGTGTTCTTCCTTTATTTTGTAGAAAGGAACCTGAATCTTCTGTTTATTTGCTTTTTCCCCCTTTTCCATTCTTTCTCCAGAAAGGATAATCATTTGGGTAGTATCTGCAGTCTGGATTTTCAGACTGAACTGAGGAAATCCCAAGAAACAGACAAAGCTTTCTCCATAAGCTTTCTCCCTTCAGTCTATCTACTGGCCTGTCTTTTGTTTTCCAGTTAATTGCACATATCAGCAGTCAAGATGATAAAGAGATGGAACCTAATATGACTAAATGAGTAAAATTTGTGATTATATTCTATTAGGTTGATGGTCTAGCTGGCCTCATAGACATTGCATTTAAATCTAAGCCTTGATTTGGATGTACTAACATTTAAGATCCAACCCACAATGCACATCTCAAGAATTAGTAAGAGGTACAGCTGCTAACCTCAAGGTCGGCAGTTTGAAACTACCAGCCATTCAGTGGGAGAAAGATGAGACTTTCTACCCCTGTAAAGATTTACAGCTTTGGGAACCCTGTGCAAGTGGCACTATGAGTTGAAACCGACTCCATGGTACTTAACAACAACAACAACAACAACATTAGCTGTGGTAGTTTTATGAGGTACATAAATACGGAGTCAGGTCAGTGGTTTACCAGTGTATAGAAAATGAACTCTAGAGATTTGATCTTTTATTTATACAGTGAATATTGTCAAGTAAAATATAATCAAATAAAAGTAAGATGCTTATTATCCTGGAAAAAGAAATAGGATTCTAGAGGATAGTTATAATCAACGAATTAACAAATCATTTAATCTCTCTTTCTTCCCCCCATAGATACATTGGTGTTAAGTGCCATTGAGTCTGTTCTGCCTCATAGTGACCCTGTATAGGGTTCCCGAGTCTTGTAATATTTGCGGGAGTAGAAAGCCTCATCTTTCCCATGCAGAGCAGCTGGTGGGATCAAACTTCCAATCTTGTGGCTAGCCGTCCAGTGCTTATCTTACAAAGCCAGATATCATGGAGCTTAGGACAAGCACTTGATGGCTAACTGCGAGGTCAGCAGTTCAAACCCACTAGCTATTCCTTGGAAACCCTATACAGAGATTCAATGGTACTTAACAAAAACAACAGTTTTAAAAAGATTGTTATTTAAGGGCACATTAATCTCAAAGTTGGTTAATTATACCTACTAAGCCAATGAAAACATTTATATTTAAAAACAATGATTCTTATTTTAGAACGAACAAGGCAAAAAACAACTATCCAGCCATCTGAAAAAAAAAAACAAATACAAAAAATAACCCTGTTGCTATCAAGTTGATTCCAATGCATAGTGGCTCTGTGGGACAGAGTAGAGTGTTCTGTATAGTTCTCAAGGCTTTAAATCTTTGAATAGATCTTTCTTCTGAGAAGTGGTGAGTTCAAACTGCTTGTCCTTCAGTTAGCCACCAAGCACTTAACTGCTGTGGCACCAGAACATAGGGATTATTTACAAGCACCTATAGCCAATTTCTTAGGTTGTATTTTCCAATCTATTTGTCCATCTTTGGGAATAGGAAAGCTATTTAAATTATCTGGAGAAAGAAAGAAATATTACAAAGAGGTGAAAACAACTGAAAATAAAATCCTTTTTACTATTTTACTAAGAATTTAAAAGACCACTACTGTGTCATCGTCTTTTATGAACCCTAGACTTTCCTCTAATATTTAAAATACAGTTAATGACATCACTGTGCTTCCAGGTGGACCAACCAGGACCTGGGATTGCTACACAGGCTAGAGCTCTCTTCTCCCTTCCCCCAAACCATTCTAAAATGGAATTGATTTTACACTATGGTCTTTCTGGGGACACTTAGAATGCTCAATTTGAGAGTTACATAGATAAAACTGGAATTTTTACCCAGGTAGTCTGACTGTATCTAACACATCTGTGTTATAAGAAGTGCAGCCCGCATTCTCCTTGGAGGCCAGGATGGCCAAGCTTTGTCTCTCATACTTAGGACATATTGTCAGGAGGGACCAGTCACTGGAGAAGGATATCATGTTTGGTA